TGCTTCTTTGCAGGACCAAGCTCTCCCTGCTTCTGGACTGTAAAGCAGTGGCTTTTCTTCCATCTCCCTTCCCTCTCCCTTACTTCTAACACCTAGTTGGGGAAGAATATATAAAAGCCAGAGTGTGTACCAATAGGGCAGGAAGTAGTGATGATTTTGGGGCATCAAAGGCTCATCTCAGTCCCACAGCCCCCAAATCTTCCTCAGGTCAGAAAGGATCTCTGAGGAATCCCAGAACTTGACAAGGGGAATAAAAACTTTAATGTCCTCCGGCAGGGACATCATCAGCATTACATGCATGGAGCTGCACCAATAGGATTCTTGCAAGTATGTGTATATTTTAGACTTTTGTACGTAACACCTAATCCTTTATATCTGCTAAAAGCATCTTAGATGAATATAATGAAGACATTAATTTTTGGAAAATTCTCATACATAGATTTTTTATCCTTCTAAACTGCTTATGTAAATATTTCAGTAATCTTGCAGATGTGGTGGATGAGACAACAGTGCATGCAAACTGCTGGAGTACCAACTATATACACTGTCACAGCATTAAGGACTAATTATACTATCATCACTGTATATCACTTACATGTACATAGATTAGAGATGTGTGTAATGGGGGTATTCTGTCAACTCACGTGTCTGCTGCTGCCACCGGCTCCGCTCTCCCTTCCAATTGCTCCAGAGCTCGCAGTTGGCTATCCACTTCTGGCAGAAGGAGGGAAGACGAGTCTCTCTGCCAGGTTCACAGCTGGATAGCTGACTGGCAGCTCCGGAGCGACTGGAAGGGAGAACAGAACCGGCGGTGGATGTGTGAGTGGACGGTCTGGTCCCAGGGGGCTGGACCCTCATTACGTCCAGTTGTGCCTAACACAGATTTAAGGTTTTAGTTGCATTAAAACTAGTAAAATGTTTTCTCTAACAAAGGTCTTTTCTAATATGCTCTCAGTAAAATCCTGCCACCAGTTTAAAGTGCAAGAGGGAACTCTGACCTTCGAAGAACACACATTGTTCTAGGGCAATATAGCCACTCTACTGTTGTCTGGCACCTCACTTCTCAAAGGCACTTTGCTTTGACTATTGCTGCTGGAGATATAGTATGTGAAGTAGCACATACTTTTCTGAACACACTCAAATTATGACGGTCCTGAGAACTCACCAAGATTGGATAACAGACTAAACATAGAAGCTCCAAATATGATAACTAGTGAAAAATAAGGTTATCCAAAGTATAGTCTCTCCACCTCTCACACATTATTGCACTTTTTCTCTGGAAAGTAGTGGATGTATAGATGAAAATATTAAAATACAGTGGTGCCTCGCTTTATGATTGCCCCGCATTACGACTAAACTGCATTACGACGATCTTTTTGCGATCACAATTGCAATCGCAAAACGATGGTCTGAATTGGGGAATTTCGCTTTGCGATGATCGGTGCCCTGCTTCGGGAACCGATTCTTCACAAAATGACGATTTTCCTCCGGCTGATCGGTGGTTTCAAATGGCCGCCAAGTAAATAAAATGGCACTCCTCGCAAGACAGCCACAGAAAATGGCCACCCTATGGAGGATCTTCGCTGGACGGTGAGTTTTCAGCCCACTGGAACACACTGAAGGGGTTTCAATGCATTTCAATGGGCTTTTTATTTTCACATTACGACGTTTTAGTTCTACAGCGATTTCGCTGGAATGAATTAACGTCGTAATGCAAGGCACCACTGTATCAGGATTCATAAACATGCACACTAACAGAAAACCAATGGTGATTAACTAGATTACCAGTGGAAATTATAGCTTCTCTCAAACAGGAACAAAATAAAATGGAAAAGAAAAGGGCTGGTGTGGTCCTGAAGATTGTACAAAAGCAAGAGTAGTTGATAACTTTTGGACTACTAAAAATAAAATAAAAAGCAAACTTTCATGGATGAAATCTACTTTCTCAGGCTCTAAGCACATCCCTTTCATGGCTCATGAAAAAAAGTCCAGAAACTGATGTTACATATCTGGCAGTGATTGTCAGTTCTTCTTGTGAAGCTGAGCTGCACAACTAGATTTTCTACCACAAAGAAGCAACACCAGTACTTTTTTCTGACAAAACATTGATTCCATAGCAATTCACCTTCAGCACTACTCTGATGTATTAGTCTACTGTACTGTGCTGCTCTCCTCTGTTAGAGATATCTGCAGATGATAGCTGAATATGGTGTGAAATGTGGATGATGTGGAAGGAATAGGGTGGGTCACATTGGGGATATTATGTAAGCTTCGGCCTCATGACTAACATTCCAGCACAAACAGGTGCCAAATATGAAAAGATCAGCTGTGACTACACTGGCAAGCAGATTTGGAGTGATTCTGTTTTGCTTTGCCTTGATTCTTCTGTTCATTTCTATTTGGATTAGATGATCAGACAGTAGTACTGCACCTTGGAAAAAGAAACCAATTGCACAGTTACAAGATGGGAGCTACCTGGCTCAGCAATACTACAAGTGAGAAGGATATTGGAATTGTTGTAGATCACAAGCTGAATATGAGCCAACAGTGTGATGTGGCTACAAAAAAAGGCTAATGCTATTTTAGGCTGCATTAAGAGAAGTATAGTTTCCAAATTGCGCAAGGTGCTAGTACCCCGCCATTCAGCACTGGTGAAGCCTCACCTTGAGTACTGTGTCCAGTTCTGGACACCATACTTCAGGAAGGATGCTAACAAATTGGAAGTGGTTCAGAGGAGGGTGACAAAGATGATCATGGGGCTGGAAACCAAGCCTTATGAGGAAAGGCTGAAAGAATTGGGCATGTTTAGCCTTGAGAGAAGAAGACACAGGGGTGATATTATAGCACTTTGCAAATATTTGAAAGGCTGTGATACAGAGGAGGGGCAAGATCTGTTCTCGATCATCCCAGAGTGCAGGACACACAACAATGGGTTCAAGTTAAAGGAAGCCAGATTTCAGGTGATTATTGCAAAAAACTTCCTAACTGTTAGAGCGGTACAACAGTGGAGCCAATTACATAAGGAGTTGGTGAGTGCTCCAACACTGGAGGCATTGAAGCAAAATTTAGATAATCACCTGGCAGACATACTTTGATTGTATTCCTGTGTTGAGCAGGGGGCTGAACTTGATGGACTTGTAGGCCCCTTCCAACATCACTTTCTATGATTCTATGACAGAGACTGGGGCTTGTTTTGGTGTCAGTATCCACCTTGGCCTCTCAATGCAATGCAGTCCAATCTACAGCAAAGGACACAGGCCCCTTCCTTTGATCTTTCCCTCTGCTGATCCCCAGCCTTCCTTTTTTGCTTCACTGTAAAGCTGATGGGCTGCTTAAAGTGATGCATGGCATCAGGGGAAAGGGATAGTTTTCCAGTGTTCTCCGTAATAATAAAAAACGCAACATACATGTACACAGCAGAAACAAAAAGGTCTACTGTAGTTTGTTACAGTTGTCTCCACTTCACAGTAATTTTTATCTCTTTTTTATGTCCATTCATAGGTGATCTAACTCTAAACTAATGTATCAATGCAGTGACAAGTGATCTAGCACTAAACTTGGTAGTTTAAAAAATGTATTTTGGGATGATTAGAAAAAAAGATTGCGGATGCAGGTGTTCCTGCTGTCCAAAACATGCCCAACTTAATATGTCACCAGAATACCACCCACAGTTATACACACACTCCAATCCTTTGGAGAATGGAATAACTGATCACATGGGGAAAACAACTTTTGAATTGCTCCACCTTAAAAAAAGTAGAAGCTCCCAATAGCAAGGAAAACAACTCTGCAATTGAAGAACAAATGTTGGGTTGATTAGCATTGGCTATTTGTGACCAGTTAAAAAAACAGTTTGAATTCATATGTTCTACTTATGCAGCAAATCCTGTACTATTTGCCAGTGTAGTTGCAGCCAAATAACTTATAATGCCCATTTTCTGTGACAATCAGAGAAACACTTCAAAGACATGAACAGAGCAAATTAATCAGGGCCTTGTTGTTTTCTCCTTGGATATCTTCTGTTTCATCAGTACGTGCTCTATGAGTACATCAATCCTGCATGTATCAACAGTAGATCATTTGTTTATATGACATGCATAATATGCTAATTAAGTTCAATTTTGAAAGAGGTTAGTTATCATTATTTTTACTATACTCTAAGTTAGAAGCATGCTACTTAGAAGCGCTTGCGGAACCAGGTTGATTAACCTGTAGAAAGCACCAGCAATCGATAGAGCTCAGCCATTATAACCTGTACTATGCTTGGGAAGAGGGAATAAACATTGCAGTGAGTATTAAAGAGCAATTTGGGCTCTACTGGAAAACCTAATTTCAAATAACACTCAGCATACAGACCCTCACCTGAACAACACACATGCACCTTCCAGCCAAGGGTCTCCCTCTAATTTCAATCATTTGATTAGATGTGGGAATGCATTCCAAAGCTTCCTTGTCATGATCACTGATTAGAGCTGGAAACCACATGTTCAGCTCTTCTCTGCTATGCAGCTTGCCCTAAAGTTCTGAGGATGACAACTGGACTAAGTAAAAGAAATGCCAACATGAAATGTGCCCAGAGACTTTTTGCTGCTGAAAGCAAAACAGCTCAAACCTAGCCCCTACTGATCTTTAGAACACTGAGGTCAGGAAATGTAAAGGCAGTGAGGAAGGCCCAAGCTTCATATGACAACCCAAATATTCTTTTTTACCTCAAAGAGGCAACTTATTTGCACTACTAGCTGAGTCAGAGCTGTTTATAACTGAACTCAAATTAAGAAGAATTGATAGGAAAGAGCAAGCTGGGTATATACATCAACTAGAGGCTACAGTTGTGACAAGGAACAAAGCATCTTTAACGACATTTAATTTTTAAAGAGTGATCATTATGAAGGAAACTTAAGACCTTTCCCTTCAGACTTAGTGAAGCAATCTATCTAGAAGCTGTGAAAGTGAGAGAGGAGCTCAAGCAACGCGGCACTAACTGCTTTTGGAGCCCTCACCCAGTTTGTCAGTGGAAGTGATAATATCGGCTGGAACGGAAGAGTCCAAATCAGCATCCAAGATGCCCAGTGGGTCGAGTTGTGCTACATGGTGCCCTCGAATCTATGAAATGGGCCAGGGATGAAAGGAAAGTAGACACCAGAAAAGGGAGGGGGTAGAAAGGAAAGGGGTATAAAAGTTAAAATTACATTAGAATTAATTTGCAGAGTAATTCTCACCGACGTTTGGAGAATCAGATACTGCCGAATCATCAAAATTTACACAACTAATGCCGAGAGGATCAAGCTTGGCAATATGGTGACCCCTGACCTAGAAACAACAACAAAATTAGTCAACTTTGGTTAAAAAAGCATCTTTCACATTTCAGTGTTGTGGCATGGCCCTGGTGTCAAGGTTACTTGGCTGTTGAAATGCAGCAGCATTAAATCAATCTGTATAGTGAGCCCATCACAGATGCAAACTTAATTTTTCTTTCTGTCAACAGACTGAAAATACTTACAGCCAGAATCTTACTACTAACAAATGTTGATGTTATGCTAAATGGTCTAAAAAGGAATGGTGACTTGCCACTAGTTCTGGTCAAAGCTTATTTGTCTAACTGTGTGCTAAGTCATGCAACTGGTGTGTGATTAAGAATACAAAGGCTAACTTCTTTAACTGGTGATAATTTGCTGCTACAGTTTATGTCATTTGACTTATGTTGGTGTACAGTATCTAAGTAACAGGATTCTGGCCAATAGTGTCAGTGTAAGAAAAAGGCAGACTCATTACAAATATATTTGTTTAGAAGGGGAACAAGGAAACAAATTATCTGCAAATTTTCATGTTTCCCCAAAAATAAGACAGGGTCTTATATAAATTTTTGCTCCAAAAACGTATTAGGCCTTATTTTCAGGGGATGTTTTATTTTACAGTCATGTCATCTTCTGGTTGCTGCACAATGGTGGAGGGCGTGGTTTCACTTAACTAGGACTTATTTTGGGGGTAGGACTTATATTATGAGCATCCTGAAAAAATCAAACTAGCGCTTATTTTCAGGTTAGGTCTTATTTTCGGGGAAACAGGGTAGTGTATAACACATCTGTTAGCATGTAGCTAATTTTTACAAATTTATTATTTAAAAAGCAGAATAAGGAATATTTATTATTTATTTATTTATTTCATTTATATCCCGCCTATCTGGTCGGGTCAGGACCACTCTAGGCGGCTAACAATCATAAAAATACATCGAAAATATATAAACAGTTTAAATAATAAAAGCAATACACAGAGTGAAAAACAATAAAATGAGTAAAAAAGAAGAGGAAAGGCGTCAGGAATTATTTGATGGGAAGGCCTGCCGAAACATCCATGTCTTTAATTGTTTCTTAAAGATACCCAGTGAGGGAGCCCTGCGAATCTCTGGAGGTAGATTGTTCCAGAGGCGAGGAGCCACCACCGAGAAGGCCCGATTTCTTGTCTTTTCCTTCCGGGCCTCCTTCGGCGTTAGGCTCCTCAGCCTCACCTCCTGGCTCGCACGAGTGATACGGGTAGACCTTGGTGGGAGTAGGCGTTCCGCCAGGTATCGAGGCCCTAAACCGTTTAGGGCTTTGTACGTGAGCATCAACACTTTGAAGTTGATGCGGAATCGGATGGGCAGCCAATGCAAAGCGGCCAGAG